GTAACATCAGTATTTACTCAGACCGCTATACAGTGTAACAACTTCATATACTCAGACTGCAATACAGTGTAACAACATCAGATACACAGACTGCTATACAGTGAAACAACAGTATATACTCGGACAACTATACAGTGTACTATACAGTGTAATATCAGCATCATATACTCAGACATCTATACAGTGTTATAACAACATCATATACTCAGAATGTTATACAAAGTAACAATAGTAAAAACTCAGACTGCTATACAGGAGAACAACATCATATACTCAGCCTGAGTATATGATGTTGTTATTACACTGTATATCAGTGATGTTGTTACATTGTATAGGAATCTGAGTATATACGCTTGTTACACTGTATAGCGGTCTGAGTAAATACTGATGTTACACTGTATAGCAGTCGGAGTATATACTGTTGTTGCACTGTATAGCAGTCTGAATATATGATGTTGTTACATTATATAGCAGTCCGAGAATATACTGTTGTTACATTCTATAGCAGTCTGAGTTTTTACTATTGTTACTTTGTATAACATTCTGAGTATATGATGTGGTTACATTGTATAGCAGTCTGATTATATGATGGTGATATTACGCTGTATAGCTGTCTGAGATTATGATTGTATTACATTGTATAACAGCCTGCGTATATGATGATGTTGTTGTACATCAATCTGAGTATATGCTGTTGTTACACTGTATTATATGATGGTGTTGTTAAACCCTATAGCTGTCTGAGTATATGATGGGGTTATTACACTGTATAGCTGTCTGATTAATTGATGTATATACTGTTGTTACCCTGTATAGCAGCCTGAGTATATGATGTTGTTATTACACTGTATAGCTGTCTGAGATTATGATGGTATTACATTGTATAACAGCCTGTGTATATGATGATGTTGTTACACTGTATAGCAGCCTTAGTATATGATGGTGTCATTACACTTTATAGCTGTCTGAGTATATGATGGTGTTACATTGTATAGCAGCCTGAGTATATGATGGTGTTATTACACTGTATAGCTGTCTGAGTATATGATGTTGTTATAACACTGTATAGATGTCTGAGTATATGATGGTGTTACATTGTATAACAGCCTGAGTATATGATGTTGTTACACTGTATGGCTGTCTGAGTATATGATGGTATTACACTGTATAACAGTCTGAGTATATGATGATGTTGTTACACTGTATAGCTGTCTGATTAATTGATGGTGTTATTACATTGTATAACAGCCTGAGAATATGATGTTGTTATTACATTGTATAACAGCCTGAGTATATGATGGTGATATTACACTGTATAGCTGTCTGAGTATATGATGGTGTTACATTGTATAGCAGCGTGAGTATGTAGATACAAATATGTGTGTAAACAAACAGGGACGTGTCTGGGCGGCAGTTTATTGATAACGTTACATATATTGACACATCAAATATGACAAGTACGTGGCTATATAAGATGATGGGCATAGAAAAAAACTACAATAAGACGAACAATAACTCGCAAATACGGTTAATTATGTGTTCATATCTTGTTAATAAGACTTGGTCGACGAGAGCATGTTGAAAGGATGATATTATCCGCTTAATATAGCCCGATGGAGTACTCTTTTCAGGTTTAAACATTAATAACACAGATAGGTGTCTTTCTTACTGTCAAAATTGGCAAGTAGGTACTAATTTATAATTCTGCCCTCGGCCGTGTGACCAGTCGTTATATTTAATGATAGGACGTATTAATGGATGTGTTTCTTTTTTTGGACGGCACGTTTAAAGATCAAACAGGGTCATCTAGATAAAAAGGGTCAACCGTAGACTTCACTGTGTCCATATGGTAATGCCTATATATACCATCACACTTCTATATGTAGCAACCTTGGCCGTTCTCTCACATCCATCACTGTAACACGCCCACTGGTTACGAGGTGGATGGCTACAGTAGTGGTTGCAGATTTTAGTATATTCTGAAGATTACCAAGGGTGTAACTCTTGTACGTTGTATATAATTATCGATTTTGGTCAAATGATATTTCCAATAAGGGACATGGTAAATTATTTCCCAGACCGGCATAACGAACGTTTTTAGACGGACAATAATTTCCAAAATAACAGTCCATTGACAATTGATTTGTACATACCTTGCCTATTCCAAAAACGTTTGAGGTTTTACACGGCGAGATATTTTTGACAGGCGCCGTGTAACCTCTAACTGCCCATAGCTGATGTTCCCGATGCTGACGATCAAATTTTCAAAGTTCGGATTTAGAAAAAGTATATCGTGTTTCATACATTTAAATGTTCAACAGGGTCCAATAAATATTCCTTTCCATAAATCCATGATTAAATGAGAAGAATTTCATGTTAAAGGCATAAATAATAAGTTTTTCTTCTTTCGAAGTGAAGCAGACAACATTTGTCGTGATTTTGCGGTGAATACAAAAATGGATTACATGTAATGTTCTACAAGGGGAATACAAGCAAACTCCGTATTGTTTCGTTCCGTTTGAAATTCCCCCTGCTATTTTGTACTGACCCAGGAGGCCATTTTTAAAAGTAGGTCAGAGAAGTGCTACAATGACATGGACATGTATTTTGAGTGTTCTATTCCGTACTATACTATATATTTGTGTCTGTGACATACATATGAGATATATAGTATATGAACCGCGAGGAGACATCGTTGTCATGAACTGTTAACCACCTAAAAGAGTGTTTCAAGCCGATTTTGTTCTGCCTGGATTTCGGGCAGAATCTGCATCAAAGAATTAGTGCTTCGGTAATAAGAGGTCATAGTCGGCAAAATCATATCCGATAGAAAAAAGGCCGACCAGCGGCCTCTTATGTTATAGAAGTAATACCTTGCCATGCAGACGTCAAGGAAATTTCAAATTAAGTGTCGACGCCAATGGTCATCCAATATGTGGAAGTACTCACTTCCGGTGTCCCTATACATAGCCTTCTGTTTTAGTTCAATATGGCAGAGTATTCCCTCCAAGTTTATAAATATCGCATTATCTAGAATAAGTACCAAATGCCAAATAAATACCAAAAACTCCAGATGGCTAAATCTATATAGCCAGGGAAACATTTTAAGTGTTACACATGTCAAACCAAGTCTTGCACTGGTAATTATATGCAGTATATATTTCACAACTAAAGTTACTTTTGCTACCGACTACAGTTCTTCATTCTGTTATCAACACCGAAACATATCGTGTTTTACACAGGAGACGTTTGTCAGCTACCTCCCTTTGACTGTTCCAGAATAACAACATTCGACACGCCTGTGGTACATGTATTGTAAACACATTGTCAGAGTAACGTGACCTTGCTAGAGGTCATCTTATCGTGTCCATCATGTGTTCATTGCTATGTATACTGTAGTATATAATGTTCCGAAAACCGATCACAGACAATCAAAAACTCGTCAGGTATTAATGACTGTTGTTTTTTTAAGGAATTTCTGGGCCATTTTGGGGGTTCATTGTGCAAAGTGCTCGCATTTTCTTCTGGTTTATATCATATAACCAACATTTTACCTTGATCACTCCTCATATTTCATTTTTAAAGTCGGACAAGCAGTTTGTAAATGCAGTTTGAACGGCTGTTTATTCCTTCCCGACATTTGAAACGAGTGTGTAAAAAGTAGTTCCCGTTTGTGACGTCATCAAATATGGTGTTTAAAAACAGGTTTAATATGGGGGAATAGCCAATATTTAATTATTTTATTATGTATTAAACATGGTCAATAAGTTATATAAATATGGTCTGCAGACTATCCAAGATAAGATTGCGATTAGGTGTTTTTTTTTATCAAATAAGCGAAAAACCCTATATAGGAGGTTACCTTAGAAACTTATAAGGTTCATTATTACTTTTGTTTCAGAATCCGGATGTTTGGACATTTCTTCATGTTAACAATTCTCGATAGCCAGGGGTTACATTCACTTTCGCTCTCTGCATCCCTGATATATGTAATAACCATATTGAAGGCACGTTGTTAGCTACTGTATTCAATTGGTCTCAGGTAAAAAAAACAACTGATCAATCACTAGGCTGAGGCCTATCCTTTTTTTCACCGAGCTTTCTACAGACTCGTTTATATGTACCCTCTCAAATCATAACGCTATTACGGCACCGGTGATTACGGCCATGTCGAGATTTTTTCTAGTGATCAAAAATATTTCCATATCATCTTTTCTAAAATCAAGTTTACTGTTCGAATTTCCCAATTTCAAAAGACAAGGTTTCAGATGATTATTTTTTGTGAGAAAAGCAGTATTTTTATCTGTTTTTTTTTTATAAAGCTCCAACATGCAAACTGCTCTTTGAATGTCAGGATATGTAAAAACATACCTACTGTAACACAGTCTCCGGTCCTTATGATGAATGCTGGTGTCGTGGTTGATTGAAAATACGAATTATGTTCTGCCTCCAACACTTGTCAACTAGACAGAGTAGTTCTATCTAGTGAATAAACGATTTGATCTTTGGTAAATATCACATCATGATTTTTTTTCTGATTATAAAATATTGTTCCGTTATAGGATTTAAAAAAAAAATCGGGATTTCTTTTTCTCGTTCAACATTGTTCGACGTTTAATGGGAGATAACTCCTGTTGTCTTAACCAACATATTTTCAATAAAAATAATTGGAGGCAGATAAGATTTATTTAACGTTATACGTTAACGACTTGTTAATAAGGGTTAATGAGGTCATAGATATCGTAGTTAACAAAAAAAATGATATATGGAATTGATCAGTGTCCAATAACTGACTTGTACATACAATCATCCTAGCTAATTTACTACATTACTGGGTTTTTTACCTGATAACACTCTGAAAAATAAATGTTCGTAAGTTATTTGACAAAGACGTATTCTTTATTGTATCTGAATCTGGTGCTATAAATACAACGACGATTCATGATAAATTACATACTTATGTTATAGAGCTAAATTTTAAGTTTGTACGTTTAATTTTTAATATAAACGTCACTTCAGCTTCCGAAAGGTCACTTCCGTGTTGCGGCCACTAAGAATTCTTTAAACGACAATCCACCATCGCGATCGTGATCGTTTTTCATTATCATCGACTGAATATTCTCGTCAAGCATGAAGCGATTGTTTTTCTTCAGAAATGTGACAATTTCATCAGGCGTGATCAGGCCGTCTTTTTTAGCATCAAGCTGGTTGAAAATCGCCTCCATGTCTTTCTCCCTGTGAAGAATAAAAAGCAGTGGAAATATTCTCTAAATGAATACCGACATTTTGCGATAAAATGTATAAACCTTTTTTCTACATGGACTTCTCAAGTCATTCACTTAGACTATTTACTGTGGACATATACATTTCACTACAGTATTTTTTCTTGTCAATCAAATTGATTGTAAAAATGATCTGACCAACCAAAATGATTGTAACAAAGATATGACCAACCAAAACGATTGTTACAATGATCAAGCCAATCAAAATGATTGTTACAATGATCTAGCTAATAAGAAAGATTGTTACAATGATCTAGCCAATCCAAATGATCGTCACAATGAGTAGCAAATCACAGACACGTACGTTCGTTTTCGACTGTCCTCCTTGCACATCTCGGTCATAAACTCGTCTATTGATACAAATCTGTCCTCGTTTGGGTTCAGGTCGACGAACATGCTCTGTAATTAAAAGAAATTGCAAGTGTTTAATTTGTCACAATCACTATTGGGCACGTGATCATCAGCCGTTCATGTTACCGGTATGCAAGGATCGATACTGGTGATGTCAGTTGAAGCCGGGTTATACAAGCGGTGTCAGTCTTAAGGTAAAGGGAACCCTCGAGTTCAGCTAAATAATCACAATTTCTACTATTTTGAAATATTTCTGGTATGCAGAAATATCTAATAAATATTGCGTGCTACATGTATTAAACATGAATAACAGTTGTTCGAAATTTGAATGTTGAGAATATAAATACAAATTACTACAATGGGCCAACTAATGACTTTTACGTTACAAAGCATACATACATGTATTACCAATTCTGTAGTTGGGCTTTTAATGGGCTACATTATCAGTTGAAATAACGCCCTCTTTTACAGGAGATACGATGTTTTAATAATTTTTAAAGATCGATCGCCCTAAAGATACGTTTGATGTTTTGATTAGCGTATTTGTTTATATTGCATTATCTGCCACGTACACACGTACATCACTGTCAGGAACGACAGACTAGTTAACATTGATTCCTCGGCTTGTGTGGGGCTAGTACACAAGAAATGGTTTCTTTGACGGATCAGTCAGATTTAAAGTGTTAAATGAGAAGTTGCAGAAACACTGTTTTGCATATAAATGTGTCCTGTTGTTGCTTGTTTCTTTCTGATGTTTACATGCGCGAAGAGAAGATCTTAAATATAAAATACCGCCTCAGAAACAGATGTCTTCATGTATTACAGGGATACACTTGTTCATCAATATTTCTTCCATCCTTCACTGAATCGTCCAAAATATTATTTATTTAAGATGCTGTCATCCCCTTGGGTATGACGGACGTCACGGAAAATGACGTCAATGGAACAAATCATGACGTCAAAATTAGCTTTCGATGAGTAAACCCGACTGCTAGTCGAGCATTCAAAACTACTGTCGGTGGAGTTGTGACTAATCGCCATAACCATGAGAGTATGGTAAAGAAATATCAAACCCTCGGGGTTATTATTTGGTTTTCTGACCCTCGGGTTATACAATATAACACATATTAATCTGTCACACCCCCAAGGTAGAGGGCGATTATATTAACTCCAGGTAACGTATTAGCCACTAAAACTATTATGTTTAAACATATTTTAATGTACAAATGGATTGGACAACAAGTTATTACAACTTAATGAAGTCCTCTCCTCAATACATATTGTAAATATAATGTATATGTTTTGGGGGAACGGGAGAAGGATTCCCATCCTTCACATGTGTGTCTCCTGTTCTATCACGGACATATCAGCTTGTCCCCCTCTAAAGGGAAGTTAGCCCTGTGCAAAACAACACGCGCTAAATTGTGACGTCATAAAAAGTGAAAGGCAATATTCATAAAACACATGTCGTTTTGCTTACAAAACTGTGAGGCTACTTTCGTTGGAGTTCTGACTACAATGATAGGATGGGGAAATAAGTATCCCCCTCCTTGAGTATGTGACCGAGAAATGTCTTACCATCGGGGTTTGACAGAACCTCTGGTGAGACATCCAAAAGAATACCCATCGCCTTTTTGACAGACTAGTCAAATAATCCTCGTGATCCGAACAAATATGGATATCTGTCCCTTTGCATGCGAAAAATTCCATTGTAGTTTTTCAAACAAAGAACAATTTCCCATTGATTTCATTTTTTATATAAGCTAGTGTAGTAATAAGACTTGGCCAGGGAATCTATAGGAGGACAGTGGGGATCACGCAAACACATAGATCTGTTGACCACAGCCGAGGACCACGCCTATATCAGACCCCAGGAAGATGTCCGGTCCTGGGGACTTACCTGCTGGAAGGACTTTTTTTATTCGATTTTAAAACTTTATAATAAAGGGGACGATGCATGGTACATCACGTTACAATTAGTCGCCGCCATTGGTCTACTTGACACGTACACCCCAGTGACGTACGCTATTTTTATACCCCCCAAGTTAATTCAATAATGTGAGTTATAAATCAACGGTGTTTAAACCTCATCCCTGATTTATTGTGATCGGGCGTATAAAACGGCGGTTTTGTGGGATATTTATCGGAGTTCAAGAGACAACGCCTCTGTGATCTGTACTCCGGGGTAACTCAGGGAGGACGTTCCCATGTCTACATTCAATAGTCATTGAGATAAAAATAATGTGTAACGGGAAAAATCGTTTTATTTCACGTCGAAATTCTCCATGAATCAGAAAAGTGTGTTTAAGGAATATATATGCTATCCTTGATATTTGTTTATTTTTAAATTAATAAAAGTTTTTAAAAAAAATCGGAATGCAGTTATTATTTGAATGATTTATCTTCCGAAAAGGGTTCGTTTTGAAAATATAGCCTTTTAAATGTTCAACATCTGATATCGCAGGTAAGTAAAGATGGACAGTAATTCGAACTTACCATACCATCTATATTTGACAAAAACAGAAAACTTTGCTCTGAAAAGATAAGTTAAAGCATAAAGTATGTCAATTTGAGTGTCCGTTCAATGTTCCGTTTCTTGTTAGGGTTTTTTTTTCGAGGGGGAGAGGGGCGGTGGGGAAAGGGGATATGCGAGAGGTAATAGGGAATGTTTGTATAATTCCATGTCTACCTAAAACATAAGTGTTTCATTGTTGTATGGTGATGCAATAGAACAGGTTGAAACTCTGATATGAAAAAAACGTCAAGAATAATCAGTAAATTACAGTACTGGCGTATCCTTGTCGTTGATGCTAGTTTCAGCTTCCCCAGTGTTGACGGGTGTGGCCTTTCTTTCTGCTGAAGCCGTCAAATACGATAAGGGTTAAATACACAAGCACTTATCGCTTTAGATCACTTAGACATGAGACAAATACAGCACAACCCTGGCACATATACGAGAGTAATAGTGCATCATTACCCCAGTAGGGCGTTAAACCCTTGGCCTTCATACAGAGAGGGGGTACAATTATATAACCTTGACACACGAGACGAGGTCACGCAAAGGGCGGGGTCACCGTTCCTAATCAATTCTTATTAATACGCACTCTGTAATGTAATGTAACACGTAGAGGGCGTGGCAGTATATGTGCTAAGATTTTATACATCACCGGAATTGTTTTCTCCGTTTTATTTTTAGTGTTTACGTCTTTGTTTTATCTTAAGTGTTAATTTGTGCAGTATCTTTACTGTTTGTGCATGTGGAATTTCTATTCCGACAACTTGACACCTCACAACAATATCAATGTCACTAGAAGCGTCGTTTTTATTCAAATTTAAAGAGATGTGCAACCGTAAACATTACACCTGTGATTTGTGTTAAAAAAAACAACACTTTAATTTCTATTTATAGATTATTTAATAATTCAGAATATTTATAAGTGCATGTATTCCTGTGTACATTCCAAACATGCCATTGAGAATGTATCCAATATATCATTTAGATATCAGACAATAGGTCTTATAGGATTATCTGTGTATAGAATTCTTCTCAAAACGAGATATATGTCAAAGTGAGTTAGTTAGCGTCAATCTTTAGGTTAAAGAGTTAAAATACATATTATTATCACAGTCATGTTTGTGATAAAAGTTAATTAAGTCCTTTAACAAATGAATAATAACATAAAAAACACATATTACGGTGTATTTTACAGAATTATGGTTGTTAGAAAGAAAAAAAAGAAATTGAAAATTCTGCAGGGATGAAACTTTGAACTTTTACACTGCAAGGTCCACACTTAACCAATGTCGCCTCCCGTGAATTATAAACGAACAGCACCAAATCGAGATGATCGCAAAACCTATGAGAAAATGGAACATTGATAGATACATAACTGGACAGAGGAAGTTACTCTAAGCCAGAACAATAACTCCTCTTCTATATAAAAGGGAGATTACTCCAAGTCGAACAAACAGAATGTATCCAATATATCATTTAGATATCAGACCATAGGTCTTATAGGATTATCTGTGTATAAAATTCTTCTCAAAACGAGATATATGTCAAAGTGAGTTAGTTAGCGTCAATCTTTAGGTTAAAGAGTTAAAATACATATTATTATCACAGTCATGTTTGTGATAAAAGTTAATTGGTAGATTGGTAGACTTTATCTAAAGCAAAACATGATATATACAGCTAGTGTACACAATTTATAAGATTTATGGTATTCCTGTGTTTATGTTAATTTCTGGCTAAGGGGTCTGATCAGCACGCAAACATGTTATCTGTCACAGGTTACGCATTGTGTATTTCTCATTGTTTTAGAAATACAGCTCACTAATTTGATCGAGTTATTTATTTTGTGTTTTTTAAGTACATGTCTCGTGTTTTGTTTTGTGGTACAATTATTGTATATGTAGACAAGATAAAGGATACACGGAACTCCATTTTACGTCGCATCATATTACCATATCGTTTATATGTATAAATGTATTAAACATGGGAGCTATCATTGCGACACAGTTATACGTATGAATACATTTTTGCAAACAACCATGTTGGGACGGCATAACCACTAGAACGACTAAAACTCTGTACACACCGGGAGGTCCATAAATATGGTATAGACAGTTTGTGTCTTTATTCTAAGGCCCCTGTGCTATTTCCATACGTGTAATTCTGTCTGGCATTTGGCGAACATGCTATGAATATGACCTCTTGTTAAATACTTAAATACGCGGCAGACCAAAATAAAACCTTGAAATTCTGGCCTAGTTTGTAGGTCACCAGAGTGTTGAAACACTACAAATTTACAATCCTGAAGCGTGGGAGGGACAGCCCCGACAAAGACATGATGACACAGCTTACAAAAACATGTGTCGTGAATCCAGTGCATGCGGCGTTCAGTATTCGCGTGCATTAACTATCTCCATACCTGTCATGCCCGGTTTAGTGGTATGGGTGATAGCCTAGGCATTAATGTTGTTTAAAAGTACGGTCGTGTCGTGGCGATACCTCCCGACCTGTTGTTAGATAAGGCTGTACGAAATAAATCACTTCTATAATTGATACAGAAGAAGACGGACATGAAGAGTTTGTAGATAAAACAAAAATCAATTTTACTGCATTTTTATCAACAGGATCTTGAGTTTGCTTTCCTGTAATACAGTATAAATGCATTTGTATCAGTTTCGCATGTATGCACGCTCTGCACCCAATATTATTATAATTTTAAACATGCATACTTCTGGTAGCTTTACTGTACAGCATTAAGTACACATGGATTGTTCCGAGCTGTACTTTGGCCTGCATGAGAGGGGCAGTTGCCGTTTAACGATATTTCATGATTTATATTGTCATTTTTGCCTGCACCGTCTTATCGAGGGTCAGATATCACATAATGTATCTGACAACGGCAAAATTCACAGCTTGATATTTCTGATCTAGTTGCACGATACTGTACAAACATATTTTTCATAATGCTAATGTATATACATGTATATACATATTTCTTTTCTCTCCATTTGTCATCAAAACTATATCAAATAGTTTGAACCAAACATAGTCGTCATCATATAAAGAAGTCTCGAAGGAATATCAAATATATATACAACATTTGATATAGCGCCCTATCTAGCTAACAGAAGCCACTCTAAAGCGCTTTACAGTACATAGATATACAATTTTATACATTCAATACAATAAGCATATATATTAATCAAAACAATCCTGAGAAATTCGCAGGATAATATCTCCCTGTGTGTGTATGCAAGTGTGTGTGGTGGAGATGTGTTGTGTTCCGTTTGTAGTGGGACCGTGCTTCCAACGGTATCATTTATAGTGTCACCTCACTTGAATGCTACAGCACAGATACCGCAATACCCTGCCCAGACCATCTGGGTTGTTGTAGTTGTGTGGGCAGGAGAAAAACACTTTCTCTGAATATTCCATGCGTACGGCGACTTCGGGGATCGAAACCCGGCCGCCCGCTTGGAAAGCCGGAGTGTTATAGTTACCACTCGACCAATCCGCCCATATCAAGCCACACAAGTAAACGTTAACTGTGATATATTTCTCAAATGCACTGAAATAGTGCTACTGACCAACCATATTACTTCAATTATAACTTATGTACATTTTTCATATTTACTCAACTCATCGTTTTCGCGCCTTGCCGGACTGCAAATCAGTACATGTATCAACAAGAAGCTGTAATAGGATTCAAAAGAAATTGCGTTCATAAGACTATAAACGCTATTGGATCAGTGTCGTTCTGACGCTTTTCCTTCCGTCTCGAGGACACCATAATATGAAGCAAACATTCAGGTGACGCTCGACTATTTGGATTAATGATAGAGATACAAGTGTTAGGAGTTCTTGCATATATAGCAAATAAGTATACCTTTAGAACATAGTTATACATATGAAACCATTTTTGTTATCATTCATGCCGGGTTGAACGAAACTCGATAACATCCACATTTGGCATGAAGCCCTAGCTCTGAAATTAGTTAAATATTTTAACAGTTCAGAGGCCTATGGGAACCAACATAGAGCTTATTATCCCGCGAAAAAAATCCGACCAGAATGACGTAATGGGCAGACACAGCTCGACCGAAATAGAAGTCAAGTTAATTGGTCTTTTGCTAAAGGAAAAAGAAGACCCCGGATAGCAAGGCTAAATTCAGCGACCTCGGAACTAGCCGGTTCATACTTCACTTTAGAATGGCTACCTGATACTACATTTGTGCGTGGAAGTGTTCAGTAGTATTCTTTAATTACCTCATCTCCCCCTAATTTGAAACTATTAAATCAGATATCGACGAGATATGTTACTAAAAACAGATTCATCTTAGTTACACCATATGCGTCTCTTGGCGCTAGTGTATAAGATAAAGTAAGTTGCTTTAAATGCTGAAACTACTACCCCACAATAACAGCTTTAACCACGTAGCATAACTTGTAACTAGTAGACTGTAAATATCCACACTTAACTCACATATTGTAAGAACATGTACAATCCCCGGCGTCGTCCTTTTAAACAATCTGTTTATACGGATAATCGCATATACAGAGCATGAAGAGAAATATCACAGCGGGTTCCTTTGTGATTGTTGACAAATAAATGTGTTTAAAGACAGCACTAATAACAATAACGGGTTTGTGACGTCCAGTGGGTAAGCCAGACGTTTCACAATACAGATCGTTTTTAATCCTTACATTTGTACCTAAGGCTTTAAAGGGTAAACCTTAAAATTTCCAATTATGTCCAACAGAAAATTATAAATGAGGCCAATGAGGGGAAACTTTTATCATTATACAATGTGCTAAATTGATCATTCATTTTCGTGTTTTTTTATTTATAATTTCTCGTGCATTTTTTGGAAAATAATTTTGGATACTTACTGCAACTTCAAACGTCTGGCCACAGAATCCTAATTTCACAACAGCATCTCTGAATTGAAACACTGTTATCTCACCAGCTTTTGAAGTATCAGCCATTTTGAAGAAATTTAGATATGAAAGTTTTTGTTTATGTGTCACACCTTCAAACTGTGTAAGATATTCCATTTCTTCCTGATAACTCATCGGCCACTTCCTGTCGTCATTAGCACCAACTTTTTCTTCTGTTTTCTCATCCTTCTTTTCTTCTGTTTTCTTATCCACCTTTTCCTCTTTTTTCTCTTCTTTTTTCTCATCCTTCTTTTCTTCTGTTTTTTTATCCACCTTTTCCTCTTTTTTCTCTACTTTTTTCTCATCCTTCTTTTCTTCTGTTTTCTTATCCATCTTTTCCTCTTTTTTCTCTATTTTTTTCTCATCCTTCGCCTTTTCCTTCGCCTCTTCCTTTTTATCTTTCTTGTCGTCTGCCATCTTGTTAACAGTCTCTGTCAGTGTGCCACCCGATGTTCCCTGTTGTCTGCCCTTGGTGCTTCCTATCGATATTTGACAGGTATATCTCTGAAACCGGCATGTCGGCATTTTATAAACTCTCACAAGTACCCGTCCCTCTGCAATTAAAGGTCACGTGACTCAAGGTAAACAGAAAACTCCCACCCGTATATATTTATTGTTACCTATATACGTTCACGGACATTTAAACGACACGACACCTATTTCAGATTTACACCTGGGACGTTCCTCCTTCCATATCTTGGGCAAACAGGACATGTACATTTCGTTATCATTCTGCGATAAAACAAGATTTATTGATTATTGAGATTAAATTTAAAATTCGATCAATCACACTATAACTGTCACTTTTGTCGGTGGATCCCGGTTTCACGAAACATTTTAACCGAGATATGAAAAGCTTGACTTAGGTTAATATCACGCGTCTCGACTCGGCAGATTCCGTATCACACTCGTCACAATTGATGAAGGGTTCCGGAACCAGCCGGGGTAAGCCGAATGAGGAATAACCTTGAAATCAGGACCTGAAATGTTACGTTTAATAATCAAGTATCCGGCAAGGTTAAATATCACTATCATATTCCATTTGTCGATGATAATTGTGTAATAACGCATCGATATCTGCCCGTATCCGGCGATATCTGCCCGCATCCGTCTCTTACTTTATCTGAACCAATATCTCAGTCTGGGCCCGCTTCGAAATATGAGACATTTCATTTAGATCATATGAATGAAACAGAGAAAGCTTACTGCAATCACTGGCAAAGTTACAACTGATTTAGTTATGGATGAGACAATATTATCGGCCATCGAAATGAACATAAAAGAAATCGAATCAAGGTTTGCATGCGTTGATATCGCGAGAAGGAAGATTGTTTTTATTAAGTTGTGGTTGTAAGGAACGTATAAAGCACAATAACTGCATGTTGTAAAAATTCATTATAATAATATACAGCAATTGATATAGCGCCCTATTTAGCTAACATACGCCACTCTAAAGCGCTTTACAGTAAATAGATATACAATTACATTGTAATACAATTAGCGTGTATATAATTGATCAATACAAGTTTGAGAAATTCACCGGACATGGTTCGTTTGAACACCGAAGATAATGTAACTGGATGGCCGGAATAAGCCATTTCCATCACCTCTCATCTGTGTCACCTGCTCAGGAGGAGCACATCTGTTAACATCATTTCTCTTTGTTTGTGAAATGCAATGGGATAGAATGTTGCTCCTTCAGCAGATACGCTGCATTTTCGGGTCCTTCCAATCACATGAAAGAGCATCATCACTTAACTTCTTGGTTTCATCTCTCGTGGATTGGTGCTTGCTCTATCTTTTCTTTGTAGGTAGATTTTTCTCCATGTCTTATAATAATTCCTCCGATTTGTCGGCACGGTGACTTTCACTGACATTTGTTGACCTGTAACTTGTTCGTCCTTTCTCTCCGATTTCTGTTCCTCTGGCCACAATAACTTTATAAGTATTGCTCCATTTACCAGTGTTTTCTTATTTGATACCTCATACGTTCTCATGTCATGCAGTGCTTCAATTGTGTATGGCCCTGCCGATGTAGGATCAAGTTTTCCTCCCTTTCTGGTGGCCTTTCTTGAGCTATGTAGCAGTAAGTTGTCGTCAACATTGAATACTGCTTTTTAACTTTTTTGTCATGATAAAGCTTTTGTTTTCGTTGTGCATATTTGATATTCTGAGCTGCCAATTCTCTCGCTTGGGCAAGAGCAACTAATGTGTCAATTTTTGACTTTAAATGGTCTGCGTCAGAAATGTATATTGGGACTGCTGGTATATCCTGTTCAATATGCAATCTGGCCTTTCTGACGCACAGCAGAGAGAATGGATCTATCTTCGTTGACATGTGCACTGATTTTCTTTATGCGAAAAGAGCAAACGGAAGTTTAACGTCCCAATCATTAACAAATGTTGACAGTGATACGCACAGAGTTCTGTTGAATCTTTCGGTTATTTCCCCAGTCTGTGGGTGAGATGCATATGCCATTCTTTGTTCTATGCCAAACACTTTACAAAAAATATCATTTATTATATTACAAATCTTGCGGCCCTGGTCTGTACTGACAACTTCTGGAATACCATGCGTGCACACAAACTCTACGAAATGTTTCGGGACTGTTTCTGCTTATTTGTCTTTGATTGGCCTCGCATCTATGCATTTCGTCAAATATTCCGTAAATGCCATAATGTAACGATTTCCTATAAAAATGATATGTGAAAGGCAGAGTTGGCTGGTGTGTTTTCACGGTAGAAAATGTACCCCGGATATTTTTTCACTGCAAAACAAAAAGAACCCGGGTCGATGTTATCGAGTTGCGTTCAGCCCGGCATGAATGATAACAAAAATGGTTTCATATGTATAACTATGTTCTAAAAGTATAGTTATTTGCTATATATGCAAGAACTCCTAACACTTGTATCTCTATCATTATCCAAATAGTCGAGCGTCACCTGAATGTTTGCTTCTTACTATGGTGTCCTCGAGACGGAAGGAAAAGCGTCAGAACGACACTGATCCAATAACGTTTATAGTCCGAAGGATCAAGGTGAGCTTATGTCATACCGTGGCGTCCGTCGTCCGTACATTAACAATTTCTTCAAACGACCTCTTCTTAATTAAATTTGACTGGAAGCATCCCTAGGTGGTGGGCATTAAAATTGTACAAAAGGTAGGTTTAACCCCCCTCCCCCCAGGGGGCTGAGGGGCGAAGCCAAAAGAGGATAATTTGGCTATATTGCTATAAACGACTTCTTATGTAGAACAGTGCAATAGATATCAATCATATTTAGTCAGAAGCATTCATGGAGGGCGGGGATTACAAATTGTACAAATGGTGAGGCTCACCCCTCAGGGGGCTGAGGGGCGGGCCAAAAGGGGACAATTTGGCTGTATTGCTAAAAACAACTTCTTTTGTAGACCTGTGCAATGGATATCAACCATATTTGACTGGAAACACCCCTAGATAATGGGGATTCAAAATTATACAAAGGTTGGGTCTGACTCCCCAGGGGGCTGTTGGGCTGGGGGGGNGGGGGGGGGGGGGCAAAAGTGGACAATTTGGCTAAATTGCTAAAATGATTTCTTCTGCAGAAATATGCACTGGATATCAATCATATTTGGTCAGAAGCTTCATAGTAGCCAGGGATTCAAATTGTACAAGTAGTGGGGCAGACCCCCTTGGCTAAAGGGTGGGGCCAAAAATAGTGTATTGCTTTGAAATGGTTGAGATCCCCACCCTATCACCATATATACAATTGCTGAGAATGAAGAGAAGAATGCACATATGTTTCCAGGATTGCCCACGGGTCTGGCCCACCCTTGGAGACATAGTCCCTGAGTCATAACTTTGAAACGGTTGAGATCCCCACCCCAAAACTGTATATACAAAAGAGACGAATGCAGTCATGATATTATAATTGATCCTGGGGTCTGGCCACAACCCTAGGGACCTAGTTTCCTAGTCACACCTTGGAAACAGTTGAGATCCCCACCCCATAACCATTCATAAAATTGCTGGGCATGAAAATTCTAATACAGATAGGATACAAGGATTGTCCTTTGGGTCTGGCCAATTTATTTGGATCTTATTTGGAGATTTTTTTGCCATGATTACTTTGATATCCAGGTTAGCGATACAGGCCCTTTGGACCTCTTGTTCATTGTAGAAATTGTACCTGGGTCGTTTTCCCACTGTAGAATATGTACCCGGGTCATTTTTTCATGGTAGAAAATGTACTTGGGTCGTTTAAAAGACGTTTTTTGATTGTTGAAAACGTACCCGGGTCGTTTTTCCGTCGTATAAAACGTACCCGTGTCGTTGTTCTATTGTAGATATTGTACCCGGGTGGTTTTTCAATTGTAGTTAATGTCCCCGGGTTACTTTTTTCACAGTAGAAAATGTAACGAGGTCACTTTTTTCATGGTAGAAAATATACCCTGGTCACATTTTCATGGTAGAATATGGACCCGGGTTGTTTTTCCATTGTAGGAAATGTACCCTGGTCACATTTTCATGGTAGAATATGGACCCGGGTCGTTTTTTCCATTGTAGGAAATGTACCCTGGTCACATTTGCATGGTAGAATATGGACCCGAGTCGTTTTTCCTTTGTAGGAAATGTACCCTGGTAACATTTGCATGGTAGAAAACGTACCCGGGTCGTGTTTTAATTGTATAAAATGTACCCGAGTCATTTTTGAATGTCATGGTAGAAACCAAACACGGGTCGTTTTCCCATTGTAGAAAATGCATCCAGGTCATTATACCCGGGACTTCTTTTCATGGTAGAAAACGTTTCCGATTTCCGATTGGGGGAGAGTCTGCGACAATTTTCATCTAATCCTTATTTATATAATCAACACCTCATTTGACAAAATAAAGAAATAAACTGTCGGTGGTGCCGTGCTATACACAACATTGTTTCCGAGGTGGTCTCCACGTTTGTTACGGCACGATTTCTCATCCCGACACGATTTCTCATCCCGACACGAGTTCTCACCCCGACACGAGTTCTCACCCGGGTGGGATATCGTGCTAAAAGTGCTGCGGTCGCAGCAAGATTTCTCACCCTAACACGATTTCTAACCCGGGTGGGAAATCGTTCAAGACATATGGGTATAGGTGACACGATTTCTCACCCCAACTCTCAATTAGGGATGGATTTTGTCCGTGGTGTCTTAAAACTTGCCTAAGTGTACATGTAATATATGAGCTGACATGATTTCAAATGAGTAGTAGTTCAATGTACAACATGGTGTATTGTTATTGGTTTGATTTATCTATCAATCTATTTATTCGTATACATATATTATTATATCATTTATCGCTTTTTACCGAAAGTCGATCTAAACACCTAAAACATATAAAAATTACATTTTATGACTACTTGTTTCTATGCTATGACTATGGGACTAAATTTTCAAGGTTTCGTCCATAGAAATAAATGCACTACTGGTCTTACAGCATATACAAGTGTTTTTGTTATATAATGTTGTTTGAAACGTTTAACATGTAAGATTACAGTTATCTTAAAAGTAAGTCAAGTGTGTTGCAACCGTTCAATGTATCTGCTGGTCAAATATTAAGACTACTTGGCACAGGTGGTACATAAAAATAGTTGATAGACTACTGACGTATGATACCACAGCATAGCATTACAGACATTTCGAGGCAGGAGAGTAAACATATTTGATAAACAATGAAATAAAGTAACTTGAAACTA